CCGTCCCAAAAAAAAAAAAAAAAGGTTTGTGTAAGTGCACTTCGCTGTGCGCACAATGAGACAATCACCTTAAGAGGCACTTCTCAGAACCATGCCATGGTTAAGAGAGGCGTGACTGTACAGGCATCCTCTTCCTGAAAGCTCAGTCAACCCTGTGCAGTGCTAACTGCCACACTCCCTTTTTGCACGTGCAGAAATCAAGGATCTTTGGCTCCGCTGAGTGACTTGTTCATGGTTTCTGTTTTCAAGTGGTGGAGGCGGGACTTGAATATTCGAGAGCTCCTTCTGGAGAACTGTGGTCCTTAACCATTAAAACTACTTAAGAGGTCTTGTTTCTTGATCACTGCCTACCAAGTGCTAGGCCCGGTGCTTGAGGCTTTCTCTGGATTATTACTCTGAGTCCTTAGATTTACGAGAAACAGGTCTGCAAGTCCTGACCCTAACACGCAAGGGTTAGTGGAGATGGGGGCTTGAAATCAGCTTCTCCGTCGAGTCTGGCTGTCTCCCGGACCCGGGCACACCTCCACGATGGCGATCCCGCCCCCTCAGTGGCGTCCTTTGCATTGCACTACTTGCGGGGAAGTCCCTCCTGGCCCGGACCCTCGTCCCAGGCCCCGCGTCGCGGGAGAAGCGAAAGGGGCAGTATGGGGAAAGGGCGGAGGGGCGGGGGCGGGGGTGGTCCGCAGAGAGGCAGGCGGCGGCGCGCAGCTGGGAACTGCACGCTCACCCGCCGAGTAGGACGGGCCCGGCGGGGGTGGGCGCGACAGTGGGAACAGCGGCCCGCTCCAGAGGGCGCGCGGGGAGGGGGCACGGCGAACGCGCGCGTGCGCGGTGCGTGTGTGGGCCCGCGGGGGTGCGCGCGAGGCGGGGGGGCAATGAGGTCGCCGCGGCGGCGCGCAGTACGGCGGGAACATGGCGCGCGGAACCGGCGCGCGCGCCTAGCTGGCGGGACCGTTAGCTCGAGGCGGACGCGGCCCGGGCCCCGTGGGGATGGAGCAGTCGCCGCCGTCGGCGCCCGAGTCGACCCCAGGGCCGACCCCCGCAAGAAGCCGAAGGAGGCGGGAGCCGGAGTCGCCGCCGGCGTCGGCGCCGGTGAGTGCGTGAGGGGCTTGGGCCGGGAGACTTTCTTTGTGAAACTCCGGCGGTGGGAGCCGGGCCGGGCCTCAGCGGCTTAGGACCGCCTGCAAGGCGGAAGGCGTCTCGCGGTCCGGGTTCGATCCCAGCCGCGAGCCGTCTGGCGGCGGGACCTGGTCCTGCGACTGCCTGCCTCAGTTTCTGCGGGGGTGTGTGAGGGTGTGTGTAGGTGTATGAGGGTGTTGGCCTGCGCGCACCGGGGGTGAGGGGACGGTATACAGTCGGTGCCTAATGCGCACGTCTCCTCCCCCTCACCCCAGACCCCTGGGGCGGAAACTGGGGACCTGACTCTGTTGGAGCGGTAGGCGGCACCCGCGGGGAGACAGGTGTCGGCGCAGCCCGGATGGCTCTTTCCCGCGTCGGGATTGTGAGGAGTGAGCTCTCCGTCTCCGGAGGCGAGCAAGTCTGTCGGTGGCTCATCACCGTGTTTGGTGTTTGGGCCACCAGTTAGGGGGAAGGATGCTGAGCGACAAGGACTTTAGAGGTCCCGCTGGATGGGATGGGATGGCTCTAGGCTCTCGAGCTTCCCCTCACCCCTGCCTCCCAAACCCATTGGAGCGTAGGAATCATTGGGAGCACCTGGTAAAATGCGGGCTTCACACCGAACGCCAGGCCTACGGACTGTGGCTCACCAGAGCGTGGAAGCAGATTTCGAACTTAAGCGCCGACGTTGTGATCAGGCGAGTTTGGCAAGCACTATTTTAGAGAGTAGGCTTCCTGCGAGCAGGAGCCGGTTCTGTGTATACCTCACCGTGGCATCCTGGTACCCGGCATGGTGCCTGGCACGGTAGATGATCACAAAATATCTGTAGAATAAATTACAAGGGAGAGTGCAAAATAGGAGTCCTTGAGACATTTTCTGGAGCTTCGTGAGATTAGTATCTCTGTCGGATTTATGTTACGGTATATGGTTTTTCTCAGCTCCTAACTTAACTTTTGTGACTGTTTTTAATGCCGTGTTTTCAGTATGTTCTAAGCAAAAGCAGGGTATATGTTGCTTATATACACGATCCACTAGGCTGGGTGCGGTGACTCACTCCTGTAATCCCAGCACTTTGGAAAGTGGATTGCTTGAACCCACGGGCTTGAGGCTGTAGTGAGCCAAGGAGTTAGAGACCAGTGTGGGAAACTTAGCGAGACACGTCCCCACACAAAATACAAAAATTAGCTGGGTGTGGTAGTGTGCACTTGTAGTCCTAGCTACTCTGGAGGCTGAGGTGGGAGGATCGCTTGAAGTCCAGGTTGCAGTGAGCCAAGGTTGTGCCACTGCATTCCAGCCTGGACAATAGAGTGAGAACCAGTCTCTTAAATAAATAAATAAATAAATAAATGATTTTCTGTGTACACTTCCTCTGGTTAAAATTAATTCTGAAACAAAATTCTGAATTAAAATATGCATGTTTCTTTCTCTTCATCATTTGGTAACACTAGGCTTTTAGGATTTTATTCTGTTGGGACAGGTAAATATCTACATATTTGACAAAGCAAATATGAATTACTGTTTATTCAAGAAACTTGGCAATTTGCTTAAACCTGAGTATTTGCAGTCTTTGTGATATTTTGTGTTTTTAATTTTTAATTAAAAAAATTTTTGGCCAGGTGTGGTGGCTCACACCTGTAATCCCAGCACTTTGGGAGGCCGAGGCGGGTGGATCACGAGGTCAAGAGATCGAGACCATCCTGGTCAACATGGTGAAACCCCGTCTCTACCAAAACTACAAAAAATTAGCTGGGCATGGTGGCGCATGCCTGTAATCCCAGCTACCCAGGAGGCTGAGGCAGGAGAATTGCCTGAACCCAGGAGGTGGAGGTTGCCGTGAGCCGAGATCGTGCCATTGCACTCCAGCCTGGGTAACAAGAGCGAAACTCCGTCTCAAAAAAAAAGAAAAAAAAATTTTTTTTTGAGACGGACTCTGTTGTCCAGGCTGGAGTGCAAGTAGCACAATCTCGGCTCACTGCAACCTCCACCTCCTGAATTCAAGAGATTCTCCTGCCGCAGCCTTCAGTGTAGCTGGCATTACAAGTGTATGCCATCACACCCAGCTAATTTATATATTTTTAGTAGAGAGGAGCTTTTGCTATGTTGCCCAGGCTGGTCCCAGACTCCTTGACTTCAAATGATCTGCCCACCTCGGCCTCCTAAAGTGCTGGGATTACAGGTGTGAATCACTGTACCCAGCTTTATTTATTTTTTTTTATTTGTTTGAGATACAGTCTCACTCTATTGCCCAGGTTGGAGTGCAGTGGCATGATCTCGGCTAACTGCAACCTCCACTTCCCAGGTTCCAGCTATTCTCAGGCCTCAGCCTCCTGAGTAGCTGGGATTACAGGCATGTGCTACTACTACACCCAACTAATTTTTTGTATTTTTTAAGTAGAGACAGGGTTTCCCTGTGTTGGCCAGGCTGCTCTGGAACTCCTGGCCTCAAGTGATCCACCTGCCTCATCTTCCCAAAGTGCTGGAATTACAGGTGTGAACTACTGTGCCTAGCCAATCTTTGTGATATTTGGAAATTGAGGTTATATTTTGTCAGAGTCAATGGTAAAATAGAATTGTTTGAAATTAATATTTCAGGGGCTATTTTTTACATTAAATTGAATTTTATTTTGTTGGTTTCATTTCAGTAGGTTTTAACTATTTTAAAAATACACACACACACACACACACACACACATATATTTTATTTTTTTTTTCTGAGACAGAGTTTTGCTCTGTCACCCAGGCCAGAGTGCAATGGCGTAGTTTTGGTTCACTGCAACCTCTCCCTTCTGGGCTCAAGCAATTTTCCTGCCTCAGCCTCCCAAATAGATGGGATTACAAGTCCCCATCACCACGCCTGGCTAATTTTTGTATTTTTAGTAGAGATGGGGTTTCACCATGTTGGCCAGGCTGGTTTTGAACTCCTGAGCTCAAGTGATCTGCCTGCCTCGGCCTCCCAAAGTGCTGGTAGCCACCACACCTGACCAAAAATATTTTTAAAGGCAGAATCTTGCTATGTTGCCCCAGCTGGTCTTGAACTCCCAGTCTTGGCCTCAAGTGATCCTTCTGCCTCAGCTTTCTGAGTAGCTGGAAGCACAATTGTGAGCCACCACACCTGGCTTTTATTATTTTTTTCTAATAAAAAAATTAATAGAATTCGTTGTTTCACTGGACAAAATATGCATATATAGGAAGGCAAGACTTTTGGACTTGAGATTGCGCTGAAGAAGAAAAATGGAAAAATTAGGCAGTTTAGTCTCTCAGTGTGTTATTTTTGTATGTTATACAGATATGTCTTTTTAAAGTGTCTTTAAAAAGCTTTATTGAGATAAAGATAAATGAGATAAATTCACCTACCATGAAATCAACCCCTTGAGTGTAGAATTTTGTG